AAGGATCTTATTGCTAAAAAGATTTGAGAAAGTTTACATTAGCATGATGTGCCGAATAAATTTATCTGCAGATATATTAGGTTGTCAAATATCTCCCTTCCGCTTTTTTGCTCTTGGTTTATAATACAAAAAGGCGGAAGGGAGATATTTGACAACCTATTATTTCTTACGATTAGAATAACGCATTTGAAATATGTACTATATTTTCAAACTGAATTTAAAATTTAAATTTAATATTTGAAGTATAAAACTTTTTATATTTTTTGAAAATTTTTGAAAAAAATTTTTTTTGGAGTTTTTGAAACTTGCTTGAACCGTATAAGTAAACTTCAAAAATTAAAAATCTTGGTACACACATACATCCATTTTTTTAACCCTCCGTCGGTCGGCGTGGTCTGGCCAGACTTTTTTCGACTTGAAATTTAAAAAAAAAAAATACTTCTAGTAATCCTATCGACTTGAAATTTCTTGACTTTTCCTAAAATTTCATTAGCTGTCGATCAATGAAAAAATCAGGACGAAAAAATGTACATAAGGGTAATTTTAGGGATATTAAATTTTTTATACTTCAAACGGTCGGAGTGGTCTGTCTAGACCACCCATACATTTTGTATGAAATATACGCTTTTTGATATATGTAAACCAGTGTTTTGTCTTTTTTTCTGGTATTTTCTATTCAAACTTTAGTTAGTTAGTATTTTCACGACGAGAGTTACTTAAAAATCTACCAAACTTATTGGTCATCGCAAACATTGAAAATCGGATGAGTAATGCGCACATTATCAACAATTTTTCTACCCGTACTGCGTTCGACATTTTTTTTGGCAAACCTGTAGTGAAATTTTTTTCAACTTGAATTTTACAGCTCATTTCAAAGACGACGCACCTCATTTCGTTTTCTTGAATTTCACATTCATTTCGAAGGAACCGAAAAAGAATAAATATTGTTTTTTATTTATATAAAACAGAAAAATAAAAATAATAAAAGAGCAACAATTTTTTTATATTCTTTGATTTTTTTTATATAATATAATATAATATAATATATAGCCGAATATATTATATAATATATAACAGCCGAATATACGTACAATATAATATATAACCGAAAAAGAATAAATATTGTTTTTCACAGATATAAAACAGAAAAATGAAACTAATAAAAGAGCAATATTTTTTTTATATTCTTCATATAATAATGCGCAAACAATAATAATGACTTTGCTACTCTGTACGAATATTTAATATTTCAACAGAAGGTACAAATAGATATAATAAACTGAATAGACATAATAGACAGAAGAATAGACAGAAAAGTCTTTGTTCGGAATTCAAAAGACAAATTATCGCGTGTCGAAAGGCCCTTAACATATTCTAAAGGTATTTACTCGCAAATTGGACAGAGACGAATCAGAGCATACATATGTAACATACTAAATCAAAATGTTTGCCAATATTTTATAAATATTTTTAATATATTATATTTCTTTGTCAATTGCCATTTTATTCAATTAAGCTGTTAACATTTGTACAATTTTATCGTAACGCTTATTTATTATATGAATGTAAAAAAATATAAAGTTACAAGATTACTATATCTAAAAGTTCGATAAAAAAGTAATTTGTGCATTAATTTTGTTATTCTTAACCCATTCGATTACAGTTGTGGCTAAAGACTAAGTTTTTTAAAATTTATTAATCTACTGCGTTGCTGAATGGTAAAAGTTCTAAATTCTTAAAAATTCATCCCAAAAATCTAAAATGCTTGGATAAATTAAAAAATGCGGAACTTCTCACTATGATATTCGTAAAGTGCCCGTCAAGACCTTTCATTTGATACCCCACATGTATTTTTGGCATATGAAAACATCTTGGGTCTTTTTGACCCACTGTGCTGTATATAGTACGCATCGACATCGAGTTAACTCGCAGTGCATTTATTTGTTATATCTCTTGTAACTTTTAAACCGTTTGATATATTTGAATGATGTATTCAGAAAATTCATTCAAAATTTCATAATATAGAAAGATGTCTATTATTATGATGCACTGTAACAGTTCGGTATATTTTAATAACGCAAGAAACTTGGAAACTTGGGTTAAATTTAAGAAAAATTAATAGGTACGGAACCTTATTGGGTTTTAGAGTCCATAACTATAATATTTGTAATGTGTACATCGAGACCTTTCATGTGATACCCCACATGCATTTTTACTATATTGGAATATTATGACCCCCTATACTGTATAACCCTATACTGCAACTTCGATTGGACATTGATTAGACTCATTTGTACATTTATTTGTTACATCTCTTGTAACTTTGAAACCGTTGGTCTAATTTTAATAAAATGTTCGGTGAATTTGTACAAAAATAGATATACTAAAATATTTTTCAACACACCAACTTCCTAAATCCTATACTATACTATACTAAATAATACAAAAGCGTTATCGAACATAGAAATTTAATACCAATGTCATTTATATTTTGTATGATTCAATGATGACATAAAATGAGGAAATGACAGCAATTATGGGTAGATCCAGTGTGGGTATAAACAATTTTTTTATCAACCTGGATGTCAACTTGCCAATAGGCAAATCTCGAATAACATTTTGCATGTGACATATCGTTGAAAAGAGCCGGAAGAAAAAAGTGCCGTTTTTGTCAAAATATAATTTATAAAAAATAGATTCATTTAAAACAATTGTGCATTAAGTTTATAAAATATTCTGCTTATAGTACCAGGTGATGATCTATGTATAAGTACATGGTTTTACGAGTTTGGCCCTGTTTAATAATTATATTAAAGAAGAATTAAACGTCGCACAATGGAAATCATAAAGTTGCATTGCACGATGCGTTTGTTCCCTGATGCTTATATAATATTCGCACAGGTAACGCTCGACGTGTGAACAGGTGCTCAAATTCACACACATGACATGGGGGAACCCTTTCCTGGCCTGTTATTTGAAGTTCAATATATAAATAGACCACTGGACAATGAAAAATGCAATGCACTAAAAGAAATATAAAATACGCATACTAAAAAATAAATATAATTGATTCAAAACGACAGAAAGATGAAAGGGACTTTACTGACGGGCAAACTTTACACAGGCTTGACGCAAAAAATTTTACTAGCGAGCAAACAAGAATTCTACTGACGAGCAAATTTTATATAGGCTTGAATCAAAAAAGGACTCTACTGACGAGCAATCTTTTGGCTTGGAACAAGGAAATACTACAGACGATCAAAAAAGGCCTCCACTAATAAAGAACCTTTTGGCTTAAACAAAAAAGAATTCTACCGACAAGCAAAATTTAGGCTTGAAACAAAGAAAGACTCTACTGACGAGCAAACTTTATACAGACTTGAATCAAAAAAGGATTCTGCTGACGAGGGCAATCTTTATATAGAGTTGATTCAAAACAAGAGCTTTTCTGACGAGCAATCTTTATTCAG